GCAGTAGGGAATCTTTGAGGATGTAAGCGAGGGATCTCTCATGAATAATTACACCCACAAAAAAGTAGATAAATAAGGATAATGCTATTTGTATCCCATTTGTACACCGCGGGTGTGCACCAACATATTTTGTGCTAGTGTAATGCTAATTTTTGTTAACGTACCAACACTTTGTGTCGGTGTAATTTTTGTTAACGTACCAATACTTTGTGTCAGTGTGAACCATCAAAATGTTGGTGTATACCTTTGGTGTAAGTTTGGGGTACAAATTTTGGGGTAAGTGTACCATGGTCCAATAAATAATTTCACACAAGAAGCAGAGTCCAGTAGAGTACTAGAGTAGAGTAGAGAGAGAGAGAGAGAGAGAGAGAGTCTTCCTCCACTAATAAAGCTATTGCATTGTATTCTTCTTCTTCTTCTTCTTCTTCTTCTTCTTCTTCTCGAGGTGTAAGGTTCTCCATAAATATAGGGTAGTCTTGGTTATTGGCGATGACCATCGGGGAGGGCAACTACCCTGTGGAAAGGTACCGATCGTGAAGGTAGAGATCCATCTTCCTCCTCATCGTCGTCAAATTCCAACATGTAACTGTCACCAAGAAGACAATAACATCGTATTTTGTTATATTCGTTAGATATATTTTTTGTCATACGGAATCACAAAGTCTCTTGGCTCTTTTTTTCAGAATATCATTTTATATCTGCTTTACTTTGACATCAAAAGCCAAAACATCAGGAATAACAGGTGGTGGATTATCAGCCCATTCCCCCAAGTGAAATTTGCACTAAATAAGACTAAAACATAAGTCATTTCCAAATGTAGGCCTTAAACTTTTTTATTCCCTAAATAGTACTTAATAATGTCTAGTGGGAAGAATAATGTCTTCTAAAGGTGGTGGGCATTTACTTGAATAATGACCAATGGATAATGACCAATGGTCCTACATTAGAAAATAAAAACATATGACCTTATATTGAGAAAGTCATTATGTTTTAGTCCTATTTAGGTAAATTCCCCTCCCACCAAACCAAGGCACAAACCTAGCAGCCAGAGCTAACATATGGGCAGTTTGGTTCGCTGATTTCCTTACACATGGCAAACATAATGTATCTCGCAATCAGTCTCACGTGCACAATGAGGACTGTGGGAATAGTATTTAACAAAACTGTTTTAAAAAAGTTTGAGACAATAATATCCAAGTAAAAGTACTCCGTAATATTTTCTTTCATTTAGCACAACAAGCAACTCTTCCATTATTATTTTTTCTTTTATATGAGCTATTATTTGGTAGAATATGATCTCCTTTGATAGGGGATTCTCTATATCGTGGGGTGTGTGAAAAACAAATCACTGTGTTTAGAGAATATGATCTCCTTTGATAGGGGATTCTCTATATCAAAAGTGCAAACGAAATTGTGGGAATAAGCAAAGAACTCATTTCTTGTGGTCTTGCCTAGCAAACAAAGACATGTTGACTGAATCCTTTTTCTCTTTCACCAAGTTCACGACGTATAATTGTATAAATAGCGAAAATAAAAAATTTAAAAGAGGTGGCATCACTTACTCATCGGTCTTCTTCTGGAAAGTAGAAAACAATTGGTAGGAACATGCAACAAACAGTAAAAGATGTCAATTTGATGTTATGACAAAATGAGGGTAAGCATATACGGTAAATACATGGCGTGACTTGGTTACCTTACGAGGTTGGAGCACTGTTGCTTTGTAGAGGGCAGTGGTTCCAGGGTAAACTGCCAAAACTTGCCTTCCTGGAGGAAAATCTGGAGTACTAGCAGGCTCATTCCTCTTCGGAAAAGGTATGATATGTGACCATGGAAGCTTGTACTTTCTGAAATTACCAAGAAGAATAAACTTATCAGTTATGTTTAAAGCTAGGGAACATAATTCAGCTAAGAAGAAGATTCAGAGGGGTAACAAGATTCAGTCAGGCAAATAGAACAAAAGAAGCATATTAATTACCAAAGACTGCCCTGGGTGCAAGCCGGAAAACGATAGACTCTAGAGATAGAAAATATGGAGAAAAATAGAAGAGTGATTGGTAGCAAATACCCCGTATAATTCTACCCCCACCGTCACACAAAGATTTACCTCCTTTCTTTTTTAATTTGTCCTAAAACAATTTTCTCATTTTCACTTTTTCCTTTTCTAGAAAAGAATAAGTGATCTAGATATTTTCTCTTCCAAACAACTCTCAACCACCCATTTTCCACTTTTAAACATCTTTCCAACACTTCTCTTAATAACCGTGAAATCAAAGTGTGTAAACATTTGTGGGACGGAGGGAGTATTATATAAAGACTAAAAGCTCCGAACATTGTAAAATTTTAAAAAGTTTTGATTATCATTTGATTTTCCTTCATATTTTGCAAGGTGAAATAACAAAAAAAATTAAAGACTATTTTTTAGCATTTTTCCCTGTCCCTATCGATTTCTGCCTTCCAAGCATTTCCTAAAGCAAGAGCCTCCCCAAAACAACATTTCACAGGAAAACAACCTTAATAAAAAGTAAGCAGTAACACTTTATGAAACTATAAGTTATACGAGTTTGGCCCTGTTTGGTAGTTATGAAAACTCACAAAGGAGCGGCATGCCTCTGACCACCACCTTCCTCATCATCACCTGGTTCTTCATCTAGAACTTCAAACCTACAGATGTGTACTCGTACGTTACGAAGCAGAATTTATGAACACAACAAATGCGCCAAAAGCATATATCTCTGTATCTTTCTATTGAGTTACCACATCAACAGTTTGATTTTTAGGGTTACATCTAAAATACAAATGTGAGGTAAAAAATTTCAACCCTTGAGAATATGAGTTGGGTCTGATTTAATATAGTATAAGGGTTTGGTCCGATAGTGGTTTGTGGGGCACCCACCTACTGGTGGGGCTTGGTGTAGCCTGTTTAGGAGTCTGTTTGCTCACTTATCAACTTTTGAGCCAGGCTAAGACTCAGAGGGGTTAGATTGTTGAGTATCCTGCATGTATACAAGGTTTGACGCCTTTTATGGGGAATTTGGTGAGTACAAAAGAAATGAGTTCCAACATGAAAAGACTAAAGTTCCTTTTCTGCCGGTTTGTGTGTCATATTAAGGGTTGGGTCTTAGGTTTGAGAACACCTTAGGTGTATTAAACACCATCTAAAGTTAAGTGTTCAGTCCTAGGGGTTCTTTAAAACCCCATCACCAACTCACCACCACTACCATAACTGCCACCACCACCGTCCACCGCCATCAATACCACTTCTAGGACCGCTGTCTCCACCACCACTCCTGCCATCACCATCCCCACCCCCACCACTCCTGCCATCACCATCCCCACCACAGCTTTCCCATTTTATGGCATTTGGGCACACATGTCGGAGTTGCTGGCTTTCCTACAGTTTTTCAGATCTGACATTGTGTTTGGGGGCAGCATGAACCCATTTCTTTTTTCTACAAATGACTATGTTATAGGTTTGAAGTCTCAACCCAACCCTCCAAATTTCAAGACATGAACGATTTCAATACTGTTCTGATCCTGAAACATCCCCTTGGGGTGAATTAGGCCCAATTGTACATGTCCCTTAACCTAGAAGAGTAGAAATTATTGCATTAGTTATGTACATGGCTTGGGGTAGCCTATTTGGGGGTCTGTTTGAGCCTACTTGTCAAGTGACAACCCCTCAGTTGTCCAGACTGGGAAGGTGATGATGGTTGAATACTCCACATATCTACTAGGTACTTTGGGGTGAGTCACATCTAAGTTTACAATTCCCTTAAACAAAAAAGCATTCTCCACCATATTTTACCATTTGGAGGCTGAACTTACAAGTAGAGCTTACATTTTAGTATCCTTTTCAAAATTAGTAACTTTGACAATGAACCACTCGTCCTTATCGGGGTCGTCTTGATTGACCCTAGCTGCCACCTGTGAAAAACAAAGGTTTAAAGACTGAAAATGAAATAAATTCTATCCTTTCAACCATTTGTAGCAGAAGTTTTTCCACTTTTGGTCCCACGACTATCAGAACATTCCTGCTTTTGGTCATACACTTTCATTTTCCCACTTTTGGTGCACAACTGTTGATTTCCTTCCACTTCCAGTCATTCCAAGTCACTTATCCAACAAAAACCAACTAAATATTGGTGATATAAGTAGTTGGAACCTTGGAGGGACCAAAAGTGGCAAGGAATCCATACTTGTGCACCAGTAGTCAAAACTTTAATGTCGTGAACCAAATGTGGGAATGACCATAGTTGAATGAACAGAAGTGGAAAAGTAATAGTTAAAATAAAAATCATTTATAGCTTTTGAAGGGGTGAATTCTGTCTAGGACAATGAACCTAAATGCATTGTTGTTTCCATTAGATCTACATACTTGTTCACCCTTCAAGCTAGAAAAGAACTCCAACTGATTTCTCAAGTTTGGAGAAAGTCTCGTGACATCAGAATCAGTCTTCATTCTTTTCTTTTTTTGCTCATTACCTTCTGCAGTTCCTGTGAGAAGAAAATGTTCTGATCAGGATGGAAACATCACATTGGAAATAATAGCAAACCTTTTGCATGTTTCATAAGAAAATAAATACTCCCACTCTCCCAAATTAGTTGTCTAACTTCATGTCAAACATTTTTTCTTTCTTTACTCATTTTTATTAATCATTTATTAAAAATATATTGAATTAAAAATAAACTCAATCAAGCTTCGTTATCCTTAATGGGGAAATTAAATTGGGGTGGATGGAGTATATGATTATTTGATAAAATGGGATAATGACAGTAGATGACACTTGTGTCACTAATTTATTTACAGAGTACACTTTTATGGTAGAATATAAAGTAACAGTAAATTTGATTAAAATGTGTGTGTGTGTGTGTATTCATAGTCACTTTCTTTCCAACAGTCTAAAACAATAAATAATTAAAAAAATATCACCCCTCTCCTTCCCTCCTCCCAAAAAAAAAGATAAAATCAGCCAAACAAGGGCTAAGTTTATTCTATTCACCCAAATCTTATGAAGCCCAATACTAGCATATTATACTGCTTCTTTAGCAAGTTTAGAGGTCAATGCGCACATACCTATTCTTCTCCGTTGTTGCCCTGGAGGTCCGGATGGGAATAATGCTTCCAGTTGAGCCAGCAATTGGTTAGAGATGCTGAATTAAAACAATGACCCATTAATATCTAGTTCTGCAATTACATTGATTAAGTGTATATTATTCCCGTGTTAAGTGATGTTTCATCAATGTACAACTCTGGTTTATAAAAAAAAGGTACAACTCAGGTACATCATCCATATACCGGAGTTTTTTTAAGGTTATTTGTTTGTTAAACTAACTTGTGTGGAATTACAGAAAAAAACTAGATTCAATAAAAATTTGTATGTGTTGTTAAAGTAACACTGTTTTAGGATAAAACATTCTAAGAGCTGCATGCAAATCACTTCGTCACCATCAAATATAAATTTAATACTCGCAACATTTAAATATTCTATACATATAGAAATATAAATATAAAATGGAGACTTTGTCTCAAATCTCCCCATATATGTATACCTGACTTCACTCTCAGAAAGCTCTTTGGCATGCATGTATAACATTTTGAGTCTTGATAATGAATTGTCACCGGGTTTTTCTACCACCTCAGGGTCTGCACATACAGGGAACAATCAATGATATATAAGCAATGCTTGATGTGAGGTGTTGGTTTAATTGAAAAGTCATTCTGTTAACAACAAAATATTCAATGATTTTAAAGATGTTTGAAACGACACCGGTTACAGCCCATGTGTTTCGTAACCCAAATGCAACTACAATCAAAGATTTTCCACAAGAACTGTGAACTAAAAAAGACATACACAGAAGAATAGAACATTCACAAAATTAAGTGATGAGTTCACAGAGTTATAGTGTGCCAATATCTACTAAAAATCAATTCGAATTTTGTGAAACAATGCAAGATTATGGATATATCAGATTCAACATCATGTCAAATTCACACTTGGCAATCCTTACTTCAGTTTTAAAAGGAAACCTAATTGCTGCAATGGTTAGTTACGAAAAACAAGCATTCGGCAAACTTCTTAGAACAGACAGGACTTATACAAGAAGTTTGTACCAATCAGGAAGAAAACCAGATTCAGACTGCAGGGACTGATGTCAACTGAACTTGAAATCCAACTAAGGCCGAACGAAAATAGGAAATAGCATCGATTTAAGACAATAAATACATGCATATAGCAAGTGGAGTGCATAATTAGGGCAATCTATGCAAACACAGGCTCCAAATTAATCAATTTAGATCAAAGTAGCTACTTTTACGCCATAACAATAATTGCAACTATAAAAAAAACACTAACTGGATTGAAGCTTCTTATGAATCTTGTTGATCTCGAGGAGCACTTCCTCTTGTTCCTTCCTCAACCGATCGAGCTCCTTTGCTTTCTCAAAGATGTCCGCAATATCCGGCGAAGCATTCATGGTTCCTGTTCGGGATTATCACGCCAATGCCGGACGCCTCCGGAACACTAGATTTTCCAACTCGGACGCTCACCTCTGATCACCGTCGGCGGCCACCGGAATCGGAACACACCGATGAAAGATTTTCAGATAATTCTCCTGAAAATTCTCAATGATTACAGTATTGCTGTATAAAATTTTATTTACAGGGATAAATATGCCAATTATTCATCCGGGTGAAATCCACACTCCATATCCAGATATACTTGTGAATCTTGTTTATTCGTTGATTGTAATTTACGGTATATAGTAAAATATTGAAAAGCAGAAAAAATACATTTATTATTTTCATTTTATTTTATTTTATTGAAAACAAAACACAGTTAATTTGTTTAAAGGTTAAATAAGGCTCTATTTTTTAGATTGAAATTTTAAAATTAGGAAGAAACTAGAAAAAAATTGAAAAAAATTAATAGGAGTTGGAAAAAGTTGAAAAATGTTAGACGAATTTAAGTGCTAAAAAATTACTTAATTAAATAATCAACTAAATACATATAAAAGAAATCTCTAATTTTGGATTAAAAAAAATTTATAATCGTTTGTGTTTGATGTAGTATATTATAAATTTAGAAATATAATATTATTTTATATTCGTCATATAAAAGTACATTTTGTAAGTCGTTATGGAAGAAACTATAAGCTCTCGAAAAGAATTGAAGGAGTTGAAAGACACTTGAAGAGATTGGAAAAGTTGAAAATTAATTTTTCTAACATAAACGAACAGAGCTTAATTCGTGTAGAGTGTAAACATAATTGAATGTCCAAGTATATGGGCCATATGGCTGTTAAATTCGGGTAATTTACGTACAACGGTTTTGTTTGGGAACAACATTTAGTGTTTTGAATAAAATTTGAATGTCGTAGATTAATTTTTAAAAACTAACGCTAAAGACTACCATCGGGTGGCTGGTATTTTCAAAATGCTAATGTTAATCTCTAATGTTGATGTCAAACGAGACCAAAATGAACAAATTAATAAATTATTATCTTGTCAGTTAAAAGTAAAATATTAATAACAAATCACAAAAAAATCATACATTTAACAAAAAAATTTAGGGTCTGTTTAGTAACTTCTGAATGGGTAAGTGCTGAACCAGTAAGAGGTCTGAACCATTAAGTGCTGAACCAGTAAGAGGTCTGAACCATTAAGAGCTAGTATATTGTTTAACTATTCAGAGGCAAATGTCTGATCAATTCAGATAAGAGCTCTTAACCATTCAGACTCTGTATAATACTTAACCATTCAGAGGCAAATCTCTTAACCATTCAGACATCTAAACCATTAAGAGGCTCAAACAAACAGTCTGAACCATTAAGTCCTGAATCATTCAG